GGCTTTTGATGTCTAATTACTGCTTTATATCGAATTCCCTTTAGATTGACTGTAGGCCAGAAGCTCAAGATAGTTACGTGCGCTTGCTGCGTTATATTACAAGACAGAGAGAGCCTGTTCTATACAAGGCGCTCGGCCCCCTAGCCGCAACGCTGGGCCCGAAAAGTGTCTTAACCTACCCATAAAATATATACTAATCTCTCTCTCTTGTAATTCAACACGGCAGGTATACGTAACTTCCTTGGGCAACTGTCTGATATGTACAATTGAAACCAACATATTTTCTGCGTTCATTCGCCACTTTGTTTAATATATGATATTGATAAATATTGTAGTGTGTGGAAGGTGGGATGGTCCCTCCGCAGAAACGGCTGAACGGAAAGTTTCCTGGAAAGGAGGGGACAGTCTGCTCTCTAGAAGTCAACCATTACAAGTTCAAGAATGAGAAAGGAATTAAGGTAAAATCAGCCCCTGGCAAGAAAAGTTGACGAAATATCGACTAAAACTTTTATTTAAAGATTGTTTTTGGAATTAACACACTCTAAAGTATGCATTTGTTTAAAAATTAGAATACTTCTAAGATTTTATATTTCTATCTTCCTTGCAAAATTCATATTTTTAAAATAGAGAATAGTAGCAATTATAAGGATAAATTCATTGTTATTTTTGTTAAGATAAGTCATATTTTAAAGAATCATTTGAATTGAACTCAACCATTTTAAAAACAAATGTTGTATTATTATTATTATTAATTACTAATAATTTTAGGACATATATATGTACACCATAACAATCAAAGCGCCTTGGAAGCGCCCTTACTCTAAGCGAGACACTGAACTTTATAGAGAGGTAATTTACATAAAAATTAATTTCTCTCGTTAAGTTCTTAAGAATTTCTAGATTTTACCATTAAAAAAAAATTTTAGGTTTTGTGTCTAAACATTTTTCTTTAGATTTTCCAGAAATGGGTTTCTCTGTGCCCTCAAACCAAGGTGTTTATCCCGAAAGGATCCGATTTCTCTCCTTGTTTTGCCTTTAATGGAAACAATGTGTTCTACAGCACAAAGCTTATTAAGGAGACTATAAGGTTAGTTGGATGGAAATATTTTCGAGGAAAAGCTTAAATTCCATTTTCCATGATTTCAAAAGATTTAAAAATCAGTGTTTCTAGAAATATTTACTGCTATCTTAAAATTTTTAATTTCTTACTGTTTAAATTAACATTTTTCCCCTTAATTTTTTTTTAATACTTGAATGGTGTGCATACAAAAATTTTACGAATGAGTGGGGTTCAGTCCCGTTCCGGAATGTACCCCCCCCCNCCCCCCCCCCTTGCAAATCACGAAAACATCTGTAAGACGACTATCCAATGTATTTACTCTAAGGATATTCCGGATATTTCTATGACCCAGGAGGGCCGGGAGTTTAACAACAAATGTATGAAATTATTTACTCTAGGGATATTCCGGATATTTCTATGACCCAGAAGGGCCGGGAGTTTAACAACAAATTTATGAAATTATTTACTCTAGGGATATTATGGATATTCCTATGACCCAGGAGGGCAGGGAGTTTAACTTCCACGTCACCGACGTCAGTCATGTTCAAACCATCAAGGAACAGCACAATAATAATCAATTCGTGATTCAATTTTAAGGATTTGTTCGCAATAAAAAGCATGTTGGAATCTATTAGACTTGTTAATTGATGGCAACATCTTAATTTGTTTTTTTTGCTCATTTTTCATTAAATTTCACCTTCTTTTGATTGATTTTCTTAAAATATCTTTTTAAATATTCCAGAAATTGTAATTTTTAAGAAAATAATTACAAGGGAAAATGTGAATTTTTGGGTAAAAAATAGGAGGGGAAAAAAAATTAGCCAATAACACCACCGTCCCGTGAACGTCTACAAAAAAATTCAGCCCAATCGGTGCAGTCGTTTGCCCGGCTATGCACAACATATATATGAATGTCTTGTTTTGATATATATAGATTGCATGATAGACATGTTTGCTTTTAGTACATTATGCAAAAATTTTATTCTGGCCGAAGATATTCACCAAAACGATTAGCACAATTGTTTTTCGTTTTCCGTTTTGAAAAATCGTTTAAGTTAATATAAAGATAAATTTCATTATATGGTAAAAGCAAACTTATCGAGAGTACAATTTTGCAAGGTGATAAATAACTCACATTTTAAACGTCTTAAGCCGGACCTCAAAATGATGCCATCACTGGGCCATACTCCTCGAGATTATAAAATATAATGATGTTGTGCTGGCTGCTAGGTGTCTGAGGAACTACAGAAGTTCATGCAAAAGGGTCGACAAGGTTTCTATAATAATGATGCTGGACATCCTCAGGATGTTCTTAATGTAAGCAGACTTTGACTATTTTAATATGTGTTTTGAGGGCTGAAACATTTTCTTTATAAAACTATGCCATTTTTTTCATTTTTTTTCACTTGTTAAAGCATATTTTACTTTTGTTAATTTCTTGTAATCCTTTTTTAAAAAATGTGTCCTTCAATAAGTTAGAAAAGATGTCTAAATGTTTTTAAAGCTGAAATTTTTATTATGGGTAAAACAAGGGGTGAGCTTTAAAGTTTTAATTTCATAATATTTTCTGCAAGCCTGGTATAACATTTCTGTAAATAAATACCTAGAAACTTTGTAATGGTTTTAAATATAGTTTGTTTCTTATTAAGGCCGTTGATGTCATTCTACAGCAGATGGTTCGCAGGGACAAAATGTACAAGTAAGTAACATTTACTGATAACGGATTATTACGTACAAGGAAGTTGTGTTGTTATCTTGTCAATGTTTGGTTAGTGCTAGAGGAACCTAATATTGACATTGTAGAGAGTTATTTAATTTGTCTTGAAGGTTCTGGGGTCCATGATCCTTAGATAATTCTGTTCCAATGAAATGGCTGAACAAAAACTTTCTGTGCGTGTTTGTTGTAAGATCAATTATTTAAAGTTTTTTGAAACTTCTTATCCAAATTCTGCGCAAAGCGCTGAAGCTTTTACAGTTTTATTATACTGCGTGGGCTGGAATTGGCATATGGCCATAGGCATAACAAAATTACAACGTTAACGTAAATGACTGAATAATCGACTAAAACTTTTATTTAAAGATTGTTTTTGGAATTAACACACTGTAAAGTATGCATTTGTTTAAAAATTAGAAAACTTCTGGACCAAGCGCTGCGGCTAGGGGGCTGAGCGCTGCGGCCACGGGTTAGGTTAAGTTAAGACACTTTCTGTAAGGTCCATGTACAAAATTGATAGGGGGGGGGGTCCAAAAATCGTTCTCTAGGAATATACCTGTATTTTTTATTTCTAAAGTGCTTTTCTTTTTTCAAAGAAAATTTTACATCATTTTACCCATTTTGGGCACTGAGACAAATTGTTTGGGGTTGTCTAAAGAATTAAAAAAAGATAAGAAAAATCACAATATTAACTGTCGTTACCTGAGCGTTACAGATTTTCACAAAAATAATTTCTATTTTGCAATTTTCTCGTTGAATAGTGCACATTTTCGGTATGTTATGGTGCATCTTTTTTATTGTTTATAATGTTTTAAAAAAACAGAAAGATTGAATTTATTTTTTGGGAAAATAAGTTTAGCAGAATCGTCATTCTTTCAATTTTAAACTTAAATACAAAGTTCTTTATAAATATCTTTTCCATGACCCCCCTGGATTTTAAAAATCACAATGTCAATGCACTACATTTATTATTTAAAACATAATTACTGCCGGAAGAATCAAATGCTATGGAATGGAAGACCTTACGGTTGTAGCTCATGGCTGCCGGAAAACAATAAGCTGATATGTGCAATGGAAGGGAAAAATGCTTTGGCTTATGGCCACCTGCCTTTCCCTTCTCGTGTTGTATTTATATTTATATCGACGTGATAATTTCAGATTTTAATCAAGTGACTAAAACTGAATTAAAATGGCAGACTCAGAAAGGGGAGGAGGAAAGGGCCGAGGAGGGGGTGGAGGTCGTGGAGGTCAGGGGCGCGGAGGAGGGGGTGGACAGGGACATGGAGGAGGTCAAGGGGGTGGAAAGGGACGCGGAGGAGGGGAAGGTGGTGGAAGTGGTAGAGGTGGGGGTGGTAACCAGGGGCGAGGAGGAGGTAGCGGACAGGGAAGGGGGGGACAAGGTGGTAATCAGGGCCGTGGAGGAGGACAAGTTGGTGGTCAGGGACGAGGTGGAGGCGGACAGGGCCGAGGAGGAAGGGGTGGAGAAAATCGCGGTGGAGGTCAGGGGCGTGGAGGTAGAGGTGGTGATGGACAAAACAATCAAAGAGGAGGAGCACAAGCTTTCCCAGTGAATGAATCTTTCCCAGAGTTAGGAGCTTCAGCTCAAACTGCTCCCACTCAAGTTCAACCAGCCACAGCTCCTCCAGTTAAAGCAGTCAAGGCTCAAGTTATTCCTCCTAAAGCATCAATACCTCAAGCTGCACCTCAAAAAGTGGATCCAGCACAGACTGCTTCTCCATGGGCTGAACAAGCTGCTGTAGCTAAAGCTGCAAGGGAAGCATCAAAGAGTGACGGAGTGGAGAAAAGGATGGCCACCATGGCCATAAGAGATGTAAGCATTGGCTCCAACTGTTAAAGAATATCGTTAAAAACTGGATACATATCACAATGGGCTAGCTTTTATGAAATTATTTACTCTAGGGATATTATGGATATTCCTATGACCCAGGAGGGCAGGGAGTTTAACTTCCACGTCACCGACGTCAGTCATGTTCAAACCATCAAGGAACAGCACAATAATAATCAATTCGTGATTCAATTTTAAGGATTTGTTCGCAATAAAAAGCATGTTGGAATCTATTAGACTTGTTAATTGATGGCAACATCTTAATTTGTTTTTTTTGCTCATTTTTCATTAAATTTCACCTTCTTTTGATTGATTTTCTTAAAATATCTTTTTAAATATTCCAGAAATTGTAATTTTTAAGAAAATAATTACAAGGGAAAATGTGAATTTTTGGGTAAAAAATAGGAGGGGAAAAAAAATTAGCCAATAACACCACCGTCCCGTGAACGTCTACAAAAAAATTCAGCCCAATCGGTGCAGTCGTTTGCCCGGCTATGCACAACATATATATGAATGTCTTGTTTTGATATATATAGATTGCATGATAGACATGTTTGCTTTTAGTACATTATGCAAAAATTTTATTCTGGCCGAAGATATTCACCAAAACGATTAGCACAATTGTTTTTCGTTTTCCGTTTTGAAAAATCGTTTAAGTTAATATAAAGATAAATTTCATTATATGGTAAAAGCAAACTTATCGAGAGTACAATTTTGCAAGGTGATAAATAACTCACATTTTAAACGTCTTAAGCCGGACCTCAAAATGATGCCATCACTGGGCCATACTCCTCGAGATTATAAAATATAATGATGTTGTGCTGGCTGCTAGGTGTCTGAGGAACTACAGAAGTTCATGCAAAAGGGTCGACAAGGTTTCTATAATAATGATGCTGGACATCCTCAGGATGTTCTTAATGTAAGCAGACTTTGACTATTTTAATATGTGTTTTGAGGGCTGAAACATTTTCTTTATAAAACTATGCCATTTTTTTCATTTTTTTTCACTTGTTAAAGCATATTTTACTTTTGTTAATTTCTTGTAATCCTTTTTTAAAAAATGTGTCCTTCAATAAGTTAGAAAAGATGTCTAAATGTTTTTAAAGCTGAAATTTTTATTATGGGTAAAACAAGGGGTGAGCTTTAAAGTTTTAATTTCATAATATTTTCTGCAAGCCTGGTATAACATTTCTGTAAATAAATACCTAGAAACTTTGTAATGGTTTTAAATATAGTTTGTTTCTTATTAAGGCCGTTGATGTCATTCTACAGCAGATGGTTCGCAGGGACAAAATGTACAAGTAAGTAACATTTACTGATAACGGATTATTACGTACAAGGAAGTTGTGTTGTTATCTTGTCAATGTTTGGTTAGTGCTAGAGGAACCTAATATTGACATTGTAGAGAGTTATTTAATTTGTCTTGAAGGTTCTGGGGTCCATGATCCTTAGATAATTCTGTTCCAATGAAATGGCTGAACAAAAACTTTCTGTGCGTGTTTGTTGTAAGATCAATTATTTAAAGTTTTTTGAAACTTCTTATCCAAATTCTGCGCAAAGCGCTGAAGCTTTTACAGTTTTATTATACTGCGTGGGCTGGAATTGGCATATGGCCATAGGCATAACAAAATTACAACGTTAACGTAAATGACTGAATATAATTAACAACTGTGCAGGACTGTTGGACGCAGCTTCTTCCACAATTATGGAGAAATCTTAGATGTCGGTTTTGGGAAAGAGGTATATATATATATATATTTATATATATAAATAGTCTACTTTAACTTTACAGTAGTTATCTCTGTTTTTTTTGTTTGTTTGTATGATCGATCTTAACTCAGGAACCCCTGGACCAATTTGACTCAAATTTTTTTACTGGGAAAGTTCCTAGCTTGCAGTTTAAAAACTCTAAATTGAGTGGGTTGTCTTTTTTAATGAAAGTTTAGTTCCCAGGCTAGTTTTCCAAGCGAGTTATTATATATTCACATCTAGGTGATGATATTTTTAATATTCAAACCTACTTTAGGCCTTCATTTATGATAAAAAATAATAATTTTCCATTCTCAAAATGTCTTAATTACTGAAAATCGGATCCCCTAAACAATTCCTTGGACCTGAAAATATTTGTTTAGGTCTGGATTGGTACTTTCACTAGCGTTCGTCCTTTCGGCTGGAAGCAAGCAGGTATTTTTAGTTAACATTAAATTGTAAATCATAGTATTTTCAAGTGACCTTCCATACAAACAGGGGATGTTCGATTCACAACGGTACACTTAAAGCCTTAATGTAAATAATATGGTGGGTTGTTATAGCTCGAAGACGAGAGGTTTTCGCAAAACTTAGTATGTGGTAAAATTAACAAAAAATTATCACCTCATCCTACACGTTGTTTTGAATAATGATTTTACTTGGCAAATATCTTTTCAAATGTTGAATAATTACTCCAAAATGATTTTAACTTTAGTTTATATTTCAATTATATTTAATATTAATCTGAAATAAATAAGAATCTGATTCTGATTTATCATTTTTATCTTTTTACGAACACTTCCTTTAGTTAATTAGTTTACTGAAACCTTTTACTTAGCAAACAAGGTATCTCCACCGTGGTATGAACGTCGTTCTTAAACTCTTTTTATGGAAACGTTGAAAACGCTTGGGATTTTTTAATCTGTTAATTTATCTTCGAACAATCAATCAATCATAACAGTTGCAAAAATTAAAAAATTACAGCGACTTTCCTTATTAAATGATTAATGAAAGACGACTTTCAATCTGCTTAATTTTGGTTCACTATATATATATATTTATAACGTTTTAATCTCGATTAATCTGTTTGTTTGTCCGATCATATCTCAGGAAACCCTGGACCGATTTGCCGCAAATTTTGACTGGGGAACTCGGAAGACCCACGGGAATGTTCTTAGCTTGGTTTTGAGATTCTAAGTGTCGAAAATTTACTTTCTTAGTGAAATCGTTCAAGTGAGGGTAAACGGCGGGAGTAACTTTTAGTACCTTGGGCAGTGCTGGGTTCCCAAGCTAGTTTGAAATAAAATTATGTTTTTTTGTCGAACCTTGTTCACAAGATATTGTCTAGGATACCTAATGACGTTAAATGTTGATGTAGCCAACAAACCTGCAACTCTAAATCTTCATATGACGAATGATATCCAAGTTCAGGGGAGAACTGTCTACTCCTATATTCAGGTGAAAAATTGATATTTTAGATTATGGGTTATAATGTAATGGAAAAAAATGTTTCCAAGTTTGATTTGAATTGCTTTTCCATTTAGTGTGCACTTTTTACTTGACAGAAGTTTTTGTTAAAATTTGTTTTTGAATTGATCACAAACTGCAATGTTTAGGAAGTATTGTACCAGAGAAACCGCCGTCAGCCCCTGGACTTTAAGCGGGGACTGGAGAGAAGGGACCTCGAGGAGTTCGAGAGGGATATCAAGGGACTCAAGGTAAGGCATGGGCCCACTTAGACAGTTTGTTACTTCAGTTTTTTATGTCAGGTTTATGGATATACTATTTGTGCTAGGTCTTACGGACAAATATACTTTTTGTGGTAATAGACCAAGATACTATTTGTGCTAGGTCTTACGGACAAATATACTTTTTGTGGTAATAATAGACCAAGATACTATTTGTGGCAGAGTTTATGTTACTAAGATCAGAGCGTATTCAGGAATTTTNCACCCCTGAATACGACTCTGACTAAGATAATATTTGGGGCAGATGCCATGGACTTGGATTCAATGGACATAAATCATTTTTATGGTAGATTTGACCTATTTCAGAATATTTTCAGTTCAGTGTTTCTCCCCTTTAGTCTCTTTTTTACGTTTTCCCACCTTTCTTTCTGTTTTCATACTCTTATAGCATAATCAAGAAGTTTTATTTCAAGATTTTTTTATCGCCAATAATTTTCAGATGTGCTCCCTGTTACAGGGTTATATACCATTTGATGGTACTTATTTTGCTTCTTGTTACAGGGTTATGTACCATTTGATGGTACATATGTGCTCCCTGTTACAGGGTTATGTACCATTTGATGGTACTTATGTGCTCCCTGTTACAGGGTTATGTACCATTTGATGGTACTTATTTTGCTCCTGTTACAGGGTTATGTACCATTTGATGGTACTTATTTTGCTCTTGTTACAGGGTTACCATTTGATGGTACTTATTTTGCTCCTGTTACAGGGTTATGTACCATTTGATGGTACTTATTTTGCTTCTGTTACAGGGATATGTACCATTTGATGTTACTTATTTTGCTTCTGTTACAGGGTTATGTATCATTTGATGTTAGTTATTTTGCTTCTGTTACAGGGTTATGTATCATTTGATGTTAGTTATTTTACTTTAGTTACAGGGTTATATACCATTTGATGTTAGTAATTTTGCTTCTGTTACAGGGTTATATATCATTTGAAGCCACTAATGTGCTCTCTGTTACAGGGTTATATTTCATTTGATGGTACTAATGTGCCATCAATGAATGAAATTATTTAAAAATGGTTGCATGGCTCAAACTTGGTCGGGTGCTGCTGGGATCATAACGCGTACCGTTAAAAGTAAATCATTAACATGATTTTTAAGCAAATGTCAAAATTAAATTCAGATCCGAGCTGAACACCACTACATTATCGGGAATTGAACCTCCAGGCTGCTTAATGGAGCCTAAAGCTATCTCTAAAATTCATTATTTTATTTTATTTTATTTTATTTTATTTTATTTTATTTTATTTTATTTTATTTTATTTTAGGTTCGTTACGAGCTTCCCAACGGGAACAAGAGGTGCTACAAGGTGAACAAGGTGATGGAATGCGCCAAAAAGCTAATGATTCCTGATCTGAATGAAACTGTGGAACAGTACTTTAAGGTAGGAGAAGCGGTGTGGCCGGTCGACATGATTTTAGAGAAAAAGTCGAAGATACAAAAATTTTCCCATCAAGGGTCACAATGTGTTTGGGCGGAATAATCCCTCACACTCCAAGAAATGAGTGGGGGGGGGGGAATTGGGAAACCTTTCACTGAAGTGAATCCTTCAAAATGTTAATGATAATCCTTTTCTAATTTTACCCCCCCTCTTAAAAATTTGGAAGAAGAATTTTTAAGATACTCATTATAGATCCTTTTTTTTTGAATTATTTTGTTATTTGTTATTGTTTTGATGATGTTACTAAATTATTATTGTTTATTAAAGAGGGAGCACAAGACATCCCTGCGGTACCCCATGATGCCCTGTCTGCATCTCGGTAGCATCAACAAGACTATCTACATTCCAGTAGAGTTCTGCACTATGGAGAGCCAGCCTCTTCCTAGGTATGTTTTCTCTTATTCTGATCAAAACAAAACAAATGTTTCACCTCTTGTGCCAAGATGCAAGGTATGTTTAAGCCAAAAAAAGATTTGTGGGTTTTATTCTTTGATTTATAGTACAGAAAACTATTCCACGCCCCTGTATTAAAGAACAAAAATTATGCAAACGTACCTAAAGTATATTTTTAGGGGCAAGAAACTAAATGACGACGCTGTATCGACAATGATCAAGGGAACAGCGACCAGGCCGGAGGAAAGACGACGGAAGATAATTGAAGGGCTCCAACGCAACAACAATATGTATAAAAACAATCCCTTTACCACGGAGTTCGGAATCTGTTTCGAGGATAACCTCGCCCAGATTAAAGGAAGGTTAGAATTAATTTTGTTAGTTAGAGGTCGGAACAAATGTGTGCGGTATCTTTAATCTTAAAAGCTTGATCTCAATATCCAATGTTGGCACTTCAAAATTAAAAAATAAATGCTTTAACTCTCAATTAAATTTATCCCTGCAGTGTATGACCTCCACGGAATATCGAAGAGTAAATATAATATTTTGAAGTTCTTACTTGTAAATAAAATATCAACTCTGGAATTAATGAATTTGTCTGTGTGAAGGGTGCTGGCCCCGCCATCTATTGGTTACCAAGGGCCGAAGAAAGACGAAGTGACAATAGTGAAGATCCCTCCTAACAATCCAGGCTCATGGAGACCAACGGCGAACAGGTAAGTTTTTTAGGTTTTAATAATTGGAATGAGCTTCAAGATTGTAATATAAATAATGTTTTTCAGAATATTGATATTTAAAAAATCATAGCCAAAAAAACTGTAAAATTATGAGAATAGAGGTTAAATAAACCGGCATTTTTAAAGGAAATAAAAGTATATACATGTATATTNCGTATCTTTTGAAAAAATATTGAAAGATTTTTATCAATGCTCGCTCAAATTAGTGCTTAAGATCCAGATCTAGCTGAAGCACAAATATTTCTCGGTTTTAACTTTAAAAACTAAATTTCAAGAGTTTCTTGTTTCGTTTTCGCTATTTTTATGCAGGATCTTGATAAGACATTATTGGCTCAAATATTAAAACAATTCCTAATAATTCACAGCTTTACCTTTTAACCATTTTTTGATAATTTAGAGGTTCTCTTCGTTTCTGTAGCAGAACTCCGCAAGTATTTACAATTAAAAATAATCAAATTGCAAGATATCTCATCCTTTTTTATCATAAAAAGTTGTGAATCGGCCATGCCATTTTGTAATTGGCGGCTCACTTCAAGTAACAGGTCTAGAGTCCTTTTGATTGGTAAAATATTTAAATAATCCCTTGAAGGAATCTGTACGTGAACGGTATGGAAGTACGAGGATGGGCTCTCATGGATCTTGCAAGGCTTACAGATCATGAATACAACGAGATTGTCAGTAAGTTCGAGACAATCGGAAAAGAGGTAGGAAACCTTTTTTTTCATGACGTCTTGATTCCTGTTTTTTTGTCAAATATACTAATTACTGATGAAGAAAAACGATGATAGCTATTAACATACTTGAAAATTAACTTTGGTAGTTATTGCAATTACAGAATATTTAAGATAGATACTGAAACTCAATAATTATTGTTAAAATTACGGATGATTTATCATTACAGAAATTATAAGAGCTGTTTTACAAGTAAAGTAAATTTAAGATAAATATCATCATTACAGAAAATCAAATATAATTATTACCATTTTAGAAAATAATAGATAACAGAAAATAGACATTGCCATTACAGAGGATTAAAAATAGTAATTACTATTACAGAAAATGAAAGATAGTAGTAACCTTGACAGAAAATCTGCGAAAGTTATGTCTACTTATGCTAAATTATAATTGTTAAGGTTGGTATTAAAATATCATCGAACTCTGCAAATCTTTGGCACCAGAAGACTGAAGAGAGAACCTTTCAGGTAACCATCATTTCACATGAATCCCTCCCTCCCCCTCCCCCCTTGTTATCTCACAGTGCAAGAGACATAAGGATAATGTAAATTCAGGCGAGATTACTGTTCCCACTTTGTGACCTCGTAGCTCCTTTAGTTCTATCCTTTTACGCACAAGTCAGAGAACAGCTGCAAATATATTTGGTTACATATCAGAAATTATAAACTGTTTTGCTCTTCTCAATAGCTCTTTTAAATTTCAAGTTTTGATTGAAAACATGAAGGTTGTCAATCTAACGTAACATTTATTTTAATTTGTTGTATGGGTCAGATAAATTTCAGCGATCTATGAAATTAATCCATAGCAGACAAACTTCGGGAATTTGTGATTTTTGGGCACTGATAATTTTTAATAGGACCTCTATCTTATCAATAATGTGGAATTCTGACAATTTCTTTCACCATTTCTACAAAAAAAAAATCAAGTGAAGAACCCAAAATTGTAAAAAAATAATTTTGCAAGTTAAAACGTGGATATGTCACTTAATCTTAATCATTAAAAGCGTTTAATGTTACCGTTGTGACTAGGACATGACACTAATACGTCCACGGCCCCAAAGTAGTTAAAGTATTATAAAAATTTAACTTATTAGCGACTTTTTCTGATGTTTTCTTATACAAATTTTAAACGCTTTTATTAAATTACTGGAATAAACATGTTTTGTTTACTAGGCTGATTTCGAATATGTAGTTTCTACATACAAGAAGGATCAAATACCCTTGGACCTCGTTATGGTTATCTTCCCCTTTAAGGTAGAAATCATTATTGTTATCAGTGTTCTTGTTTTTTTTTATGGATATTGTAATTATTATTCTTTTCATTCGTTCATCGTTATGATTTTCATCATTATGTATTGTGCTTATTACTAGGGTGGGATAATCTATGACACTGTGAAAACACTCGGAGATATAACCCACAAGGTTCCAACTCAGTGTGCTCTAAAGAGAACACTCTTCGGTCCTGATGGGAGGATTAAACCCCAGGTAATCATAGAAAGAATTGAATGGAGATTGTATTGAGATTTGACTTTGTTATGATAGAGATTGAAATGAGATGGGATGACAATTTGTTGGATAGTAGATTTCGATTGGATAAAGATTGAATATAGATTGAATAAATATTGGATAAAGATGGAGAATGGATTCAGAGTATTGAGAGTTTGGATGACGTGTTTGCATTAATTTAACATTGGCCTAATCTGGCACCCTTATTAGTCTTCGCATTCGCAATTCGAATTTTCTTCCTGCTGCATGTTGGCGTTGGCGTTGGCGTTGGCGTTGGCGTTGGCGTTGGCGTTGGCGTTGGCGTTGGCGTTGGCGACTAATTGACACTTGCCTGTGTTTAAGGTTGTCTCCAACATCTGCTTAAAGATCAACAGTAAGCTAGGTGGAGTAAATCATGTGTTGGCTCCAGTATCTAGACCTGACATCTTCAAGAAACCTGTTATGATCATGGGTGCAGACGTTAGCCATGCTGCTCCAGAGAGCAAGGTAATTTGAGAGCCAGCTAGAGGATTTAGTCATGTACGCTGGTGGGGTTTCCAGCGAAATGGAGAGATCGTTTTCTTGCCGAAAATATCTTATCTTTTTGCATTCCTGTAGTAGAAAAATAAGGCGAAAACTTTCGCTTTTTTCGAGAAATTTTGCGTTAATCTGTTTCGCGAAAGAAAAAATGCGAAAAAAGCGAGAAAAAATCGTGAAATTGTTGCAGTTTTATATATTTTTTAACGTAATTCCGCATCGTTTTCCCTTCCTTTTGCAAAATTAATTCCCGCGGAAAAATGCGAAATTTCGCGAAAAGTTAGCGTAATACGAAAGAAAAATTTCGCGAAAGTTTTTGTTCGCTAAAAACTCTATTCTCTGGTATTCTAATTTCATCGTTAAATTATAATAAAAATGTCAATAGAATTCTGATATGGTCAAATACCAACTTTATTAATGAACATGCTGAATCAAAAAGTAAATATTGATATCATAGCAAATCGTAAAACCTCAATTCCGTTTAAGTATGTTTACATCTAAATGGTATTGTTGAAGTAGGACGTCCCTTAAAGTTTGATTTGATTTGATTGGCCCCTACAAATATTTAATTTAAACTTAAGGAAAGATTTTGCATATGACATTGTTTTTTAAAACCTGTGCCGGGTACTCCAGCTAGTAGTATCACATGTTCGAAATGTGGATAATTTAAATTTCTTTTCTAGGGAACTAAGCCCTCCATAGCTGCTATTGTTGGAAGTATGAATCCTACAGGATCTAAGTATGAATGTGAAATCCGGATTCAGAGCAGGGAGAAAAATGAAGAGATTATACAGGCAGGGGGTCTTATTTCAACCCACAAATTCTTATAATCGAAATATTTAATTAACAATCGAGAGTCTGAATAGTTTTTATCTTTTTTTTAATTAAAAACCTTGTATGGTTTTTAATGGATCAATTATGAAACTTATTTTTAAAAGTTTAAGACCCTTCCTTGAAGGATATGGAGGGAGTAACTACATCTCTTCTCAAGAAGTTCTTCCAAATGACTAAATACAAGCCGGCGGAGATTATTATGTTCAGGTACATGTTTAACTATTAGGGGTTTATATTTTCAAACAATTTACCCCCCCCCCCCCCTCCGACCTCTCAATGCTTTGGGGAAAAACTGTCGAGATATACTTCAAAGGCGGTTCTTTTTCCTCTTAAATACTTCTTACCCAAAAATTTATTTGTTTGTCAATTAAAATAAATATTTTTTTCTCAAATTCACCTAATAACCCCCTTTCAAGAAAATATGCACCCCTGTTACCTATATTTGTTACCTGTATTTGACGTTAAGGCTTCCTTCAATTCTTAATGGTATGATATTAAAGTGTTGCAAATGTTGATGTTGTTTTCCTAGGACTTTGTCTTTAATATTTTTCTATGCTTTTGTTAAGGTAGAAAGTTATATTCTGTTTTTAAGGACAGTTGTTAATCTCCTACATTGTTTAAAACTTCATTTCAGAAACCCCGTTTTTTTGTGACGATTCAAGGGTTTGAAAAAAATTATTTAATGTATAAATTCCTAGGGACGGAGTGAGCGAGGGACAGTTCCTTCAAGTTCTGGCTTTTGAACTGAAGGCAATGCGAGCTGCTTGCTCAGTAAGTATATATCAGTGCTTGGGATTCATACCATTGTAATTTTGATGCCTAAATAGTTTATGCTCTAGTATATAATTTTTGTTGATTTTTACTGAATCTGATTCTGACATTTTTTTAACAAACTGTGATAACGGATGTAAGCTAACCAGTGCAGATGTTATTTTATAAATGTTTAGAAAATATCGGCCTTAGTTTAACTTTTAACCATTTCAAATCGATAAAAACAAAATTACAAAATTTCAATATAAAAATTTTTGTTTTAAATATTTAAGTTTAATAATAATATGTTATGGGAATTCTTAAGCAACATAAAATGCTCTGTTAGTTTATTTCTGTATTATATTTGTTTTAAGAAACTAGATCCTGAGTACAAGCCGGCGATAACTTATCTAGTCGTTCAGAAGCGTCACCATACAAGATTCTTCTCAACTGATGGCAACAAGTAAGAAGAATGTGGATCCGGATCCCGAAAACCAGTTCTAAGGATCCGGATCCCGAAAACCAATGCTAAGGATCCAGATCAATTGAATCCGCAACTTGCGCCATAGCTACTTCTGAATCCGGATCCACAGATCAGGCTTCAGATTCGAATATAATAACCAAAACATCATAAAAAAATGCGTTTTGCATATTTCTTGTTGACTAAAATCTTCCTACTTATTGAATGGATCACGTTTCTACATAAAAATCGCCGAAAAGTAAGAAGAAATTATTGAAACATAATATTTTGCCACTTCAAATCTAGAATCTTATTTTATAATAACTGGATAGCAATGTAACCGAATAACGGTCTGTTGTTATTCTTATGATAGTTTGATAAATATCTATTTCAAATGAAAAAAAAAAACTTAGTTAGTCATATTGATGAAAACACAAAATGAAGGATTATTATGCCTGAAAGGAGTGGTTAAAGGATATCATTGCACAGGTCATGGTGGCTAACCCAGCATTTTAGGAAATTCCAAAATATAGAAATATTCCAACTATTGTTTTGTTTAGATATCAGAAGAGCGGTAATGTATTGGCTGGGACTGTCATTGATCAAGGTAAAGATATTTTACCTTGTTACAAAATAAAATTTTTTGTTTAATTTAGTCAATTGTAACTATCAATGAGTCCTATCTAAATTTTGTTTTTATTTCAAAAGACGCCAGGCATGGTGACGGTCAAAACTGAAAAAATTTTGTCTGGCAAAATGTCAAGTCAGATTTTTATTATTATTAATTTTTTCGTTTTATAAAATTCTTATATCTGGGCAGTTTATGCAACTTTTACCGTAAAATCTTTGTTAAAAAAGTTTTTGAATCATATTAACTTGCATTAGGAATCAATCATCCGACCGAGGGTGACTTCTATCTAGTTTCCCATGAAGGGATCCAGGGAACATCAAGACCTACTCACTACCAGGTACTAAACCGGGGCTAAACATTTCTCTCTGAAAGGGACTGTACGCCTAGTTTTAATTAACTTCCCATTTATAGTAAGTGTTGTCAGATCAAGATTATCTTCGTTTTGAAAATTGTTAATTCAATTGTGGTTTCTCGATTAAGTGACTGTGCGTAGAAAATGTTAAAAGTAAGCTAGGAAAATTACAATATCTTTCACATTATTGATCAGATGTAGGTTTCAAGGGTACCGTTGTAAATTGGGCTTGCCCCCTTTAAATACATGGTTTTTTGAAATTTCTACAGAACATTTTCGCTAAAAAGTAAGAGTAATTTTGCAAAGGTCCTAGAAAAATTAAGAATGTTGAATATGTCTGAACTTAAATATTTGAAAAGGCCTTTGTAGTTGCCGAAGCTATCCCTGCAGTATTATGATTTGGTGTGGTGTGGTGTGGCGTGGCGTGGCGTGGCGTGGCGTGGCGTGGCGTGGCGGGGTTTGGTTTGGTTTGGTTTGAAAAAATTTAAAACCCAAATTAATTTATTGCTCAACCTTGCATCCCCGAATAGTAATCTGAAACCTTTGCCCCCTAGGTATTGTGGGATGATGCTGACCGTACTGCTGATGAGCTGGAGAAGTTGACCTACTATCTGTGTCATCTCTACAGTAGGTGTACTAGGTAGGATTCAGAATACATCCGGTTTCTTATTTTAGTTTGAAAATACCCAAATCGAGTGCATAGTACCCAGGTCCGCAAAAATATCCAAGGGGCAAAAAAATTGCTCTCAAAAAAACAAGATCTAGAGTTTATTTTTAAATCTGCGCCCGCCTAAGAAAAGTAAAAGACTGCCAATGTTTGATTTCCACGGAATGATGGTTGATCTTTTATTTATTTATTTATTTAAAGTATATGTGAAACTCGTCGTTTAGCGATTGGGACCTCCCAAAGTTAGTGTTTGACTTACTAATGAGTGTTCCTAAATATTCAAGGAAATTCCAATTAAAACTTGACTCATATAATCGAATATCTTAATTGAAGGCTTTAACACATTGCTTTTATTACACATTTGAAAAATGTTGTCTCCAACAAAAGAAAAATATTTTAAAATTTTGCATTATTAAACGATTGTTTTTACTTTATTTAGACTTATTTCGTTTGTTAGAGTCAACATTAAGCATAAATTTAGAAAAAGCAAATTGTTTAAAATAGGTTATTGAAATGATTCGATTCATGTTCAAATACTGTTTAGGTCCGTCTCCTACCCTTCTCCCACCTACTACAGCCATCTTGCTGCGGATAGAGCAAGGAAGCATCACAACGACATGGTGGAGAAACGGGTCCCAAACGTCAAGGAGGTCATTGAACGTGGGGATGTCAAGATCATGTATTTTGTATAAAATTTTGATCCTCCCAATTTAGTGATGTGTCAGTTCGGAATATTAAATAATCCCCTTCTACTTCTTTTCCGAATTATTACTCCGTATAATTATCACTTTGTTGATCACGTGTATTTGTTGAAAACTATTTTTTAGGATTAAGCAACACATTTGTATTTTTGTCATCACCATTTATCTATCGCTTGTTTTTTATGAAAATGATCTCGTTTCTCAGGAAGTACAAAATTTACTGTTTTTCTGATGAGGCGGATTTTTCGGTGTTTGGGCAATATGCTATGTAATGTAATCTTGTAAAAACAAAAATCTGTGTTCATTACGCAAAATTGATATAATATTCTATTTTTTTTGTAATTTTAGCCAAAGCATGAAAAAATGTTGGTTAACTGTTCTTACTTTTCTTTAAATCTGGATAGCGATGTGGAAAGAAATTAAAGTTAGTCCACTTTTTCACATTTTGCCTAAAATAATATTGAAAACGCTTATTAATTCATAATTTGTTATTTTGATAATAAACGTTCACAGTAAAAGTTTTAATCGGAGGATAAAGTACTAATTGGCATAGTTTTGAGGTCTGATTTTAAATATTCAACTTTCGGGCCCAATCGGTTTTGCTTGTTGGACGTATATCAGTTATAAACAAACAGGCAAGCAATGAATGTATGTAGAAGCCATCTAAAGACTACTAGAAAGAAGACTCCTTCTAACCATCATATTTATTTCAGAGCCCACGATTTAAAAACTTCGGCTCGAGTCGTAATTCCTTAAACTCGACTTTTAAGACCCAACTCTGACGACAGCTTGTGTCACGTGATAGACCACTGCAAGATCTTCGGCTCAACTTAAGGAGTTAGGTTCAATTGAAATAAAACCGACCTTGGTTGGTTTCAGTGGAGAATAAGGCTTAATGTTGAGTCTTGTTCCCATAAAAACCTGGAATGCGCCAATTCCTACTAAGAAAATCCGTCAAATAAAAAATTAAACTGGTTTTTTGAACTCAACTCTGAGGAAAATAAGATGCAGCTTGAATCCGAAAGCTCAAGCCGGCCGTAAATAAGGCCCAACGACAGCTTAGACCCGAGCCGTATTTTCCCAATTTTTTTAAATCGCGGGCGCTGGTCTTCTTCACAGTTGCATCCTATTTGGGTGATGATTTTACTAATCATTTTTAAATATCAGTTTGATTAATATATATACAAATTTGGCTTTGTTGAATAAAAGCATTTAAAATTCGGTGATTGGTGATGGACCAAACCTCTCTATACAACAGAAAGTTGATGTTAGGTCCGCATTTTATTGAAAATTTTTTTTAACAAAATCTAAAAGCGCAGTGAATTTTTTTTCTACGACTGTTGTATCTGATCATAGATCTGTATTATGTTCCTCTCTTTTAGATCTACACATTCTAATCTCTTAAAGACAAGGGGAAATGCATTTGGACACATTTATGATTATTACACTCTTGTTTACGTATGGTCTGAGCCTGACTAAGTATTCTATCATTTCAGGACGCAGCTTTCTCAGCACCTATGCTTAGCTAACAAGGAAAGCTCGGGAGACATATTTATTTTACTCTTACAGGATGGAAAAATTAAAGTCTTAGCAAGGTTTGAAAATTCAGAAGATATCCATTGTCAGAATTCCGCCTTAATAATGACAAATGTGATAAGAAAGGTCAGGAAAGGAGTGGATATTTTCGACAAAAGAATTCTTGATTCTTTCAAGTTCATCTCAGACATTGCTTCAGAACACAGCCTTGTCTACAGCTCTCTTTTCCCTGCAGCCAACAGAGTATAAACTGATATTTTAGTGTGGTGCACAACAAATAAGGATTCTAATTTGTTTCCATTTTTTTTGTTTCTGGCAAAAGGGAGGGGGGAAAGAGAGAGAGAGAGAAACGGTAATTTTACTTTGGTTTACAGCATTCCATCCGACAGTACTAAACGACAGCTGTAAGTTGGATGGACATTCTATTTTGTCAATCCGAACTACACAGGAATGTAAAGGTATTTTATTGAGAATGTAAAGGGATTATATTGAGAATGCAAAGGGATCATATTGAGAATGTAAAGGGATCATATTGAGAATGTATAGGAATCATATTGAGAATGCAAAGGGATTATATTTAGAATGTAAAGGATATTGAGAATGTAAAGGGATTATATTGTGAATGTAAAGGAATCATATTGAGAACCTAAAGGAATCATTGAGAATGTAAAGGAATCATATTGAGAATGTAAAGGGATCATATTGAGAACGCAAAGGAATCATATTAAGAATGTAAAGGGATTATATTGAGATAGTAAAGGGATCATATTGAGAATGTAATGGGATCATATTAAGAACGTAAAGGAATCATATTAAGAATGTAAAGGGATCACATTGAGATAGTAAAGGGATCATATTGAGAATGTAAAAAATCGTATTGAAAAAGCTAAGTGATCATATTGAAAATGTAAAGAGATCATATTGAGAATTTAAAGGGATTATATTGAGAATGTAAAGGGATCATATTGAGAACGTAAAGGAATCATATTAAGAATGTAAGGGGATGATATTGAGATAGTAAAGGGATCATATTGAGAATGTAAAGAGATCATATTGAGAATGTAAAGGGATCATATTAAGAACGTAAAGGAATCATATTAAGAATGTAAAGGGATGATATTGAGATAGTAAAGGGATCATATTGAGAATTTAAAGGGATTATATTGAGAATGTAAAGGGATCATATAGAGAATGTAAAAGGATCATATTAAAAATGTAAAGGAATCATGAGATTGTAAAGGGATTATATTGAGAATGTAAAGGGATCATATTGAGAAAGTAAAAAGATCACGTTGAGAAGGTAAAAGGATCACATTGAGAATGTAAGGGGATCATATTAAAAATGTAAAGGAATCATGCGATTGTAAAGGTATCATTGAGAATGTAAAGGAATCATATTGAGAATGTAAAGGGATCATATTGAGAACGTAAAGGAATCATATTAAGAATGTAAAGGGATGATATTGAGATAGTAAAGGAATCATATTGAGAATGTAAAGAGATCATATTGAGAATGTAAAGGGATCAAATTAAGAACGTAAAGGAATCATATTAAGAATGTAAAGGGATGATATTGAGATAGTAAAGGGATCATATTGAGAATTTAAAGGGATTATATAGAGAATGTAAAAGGATCATATTAAAAATGTAAAGGAATCATGAGATTGTAAAGGGATTATATTGAGAATGTAAAGGGATCATATTGAGAAAGTAAAAAGGTCACGTTGAGAAGGTAAAAGGATCACATTGAGAATGTAAGAGGATCATATTAAAAATGTAAAGGAATCATGAGATTGTAAAGGGATTATATTGAGAATGTAAAGGGATCATATTGAGAAAGTAAAAAGATCACGTTGAGAAAGTAAAAGGATCACATAAAGAATATAAAGGGATCATATTGAAAATGTAAAGGGATCATATTGAGAATGTAAAGGAATCCTATTGAGAATGTATCATTTAGACAAAGTAAAAGGATGGTGTTAAGAAAGTCCAAGGGATCAAATAACGAAATAATTTAGGATCAGAATAAAAAATCATCTTGAGAATGATTGTAGAAGGATGTGATGTAATGTAATTAAAGAAAATTCAGGGTTCACTGTAGGATAGTAAATGAGATCCAAATAAGTAAGCGTTTTGGGTTGCAAAATCGCATCATGTTGAGAAAGTATACGGGATCAGAAGTTACAACTTTGGAGTTGTAGATTCTGGATCAAGCATCGATCTCGGTCTTGTGCGCAGAGCTTAGGATTAATTTAATTACTCTTCTAAATCCGTGATGGTCATAACCAATAGTGACAATTTTTAATCAAGGACAAGCATTGATCCTTAAATTGATCTCAAGTATAAGAAAATACATGGGATCATAAATTGAGAAAGTACGTTGAATCAGGTTGAGAAAGTACACGTGATTAGGTTGAGAAAGTACATGTGATTAGGTTGAGAAAGTACATGTGATTAGGTTGAGAAAGTACATGTGATTAGGTTGAGAAAGTACATGTGATTAGGTTAAGAAAGTACACGTGAAAAGGTTGAGAAAGTACATGTGATTAGGTTGAGAAAGTACATGTGACAAGGTTGAGAAAGTACATGTGACAAGGTTGAGAAAGTACATGTGACAAGGTTGAGAAAGTACATGTGATAAGGTTGAGAAAGTACATGTGACAAGGTTGAGAAAGTACATGTGACAAGGATGAGAAAGTACATGCAATCAATTTACCGATAATGTACTGAGATGTACACGGAATGCAGGAGCGCACTTAGTAACATATTGTCTGCGCGCGTTTCCTCGCTCTCGACCTTGAACATAAACCCTTGTAAACCTACGAATATTACTCTAGAGGTTAACGAACTCAACTAAAACCAATACAAGGCTAAATCAATTTAACCGCTAATAATTCAATATTTATGGTATATTTCGTATACCTACCTTCAAGATGTTGGGGGATCATGTATACGACAATTTTATTCTAAAATATTCTGGTTTAAAACATGTTTCAGCCAATCGAGAATTATGGAGCGATGGACAAAAATTGGGATTTAAAGATTTTTAAACGGTTTGGTTGGATTTTAATTGTATACATTCTTAACATTATATGGGTCAGATTTTATGGAAACGAGTGGTGATAAAAGTGTATTGCTGGAGGGGGGGGGGAGATAGAAGTAAACGGGGGATACACCGGTTACAAAAATTTTCTAGTTTCAAGGTCTACAAAATTTATCCCATTTGACCTTCTAGCTCTGACATTGGATTACATCGGTCCTTCCGCTTTCTGAGATCGAAGACGACACGAATATTTTAATAATTATGCGGCATTTAACTTTATCGAGTAAAATATTGGCTTAAAAACATTATTGGGAGCCCCAAAATACATTAACAATGTTCAAATGATGTTTGGCTTAGTTCTTTTAAGTGCTGTGTGCTCAATTGTGCTGAATTTCACCTTTTTCATTGGAGATCTGAACGATGGTTCGAGTCTAGGGTCTGTATCTAGAATATGCTGTTGTCTAGACTCGACTGGTTAGGTAGACCAGGAGACCTTGACGCCATCTTAGAGTAAGGAACACAAACAAAGGAAATGTATTCCTAACAGTTCTCCGAACAAACTCAGGTTTTTATACCATATTTTTCACCATTTTAGGCCATAAAAGTGACACAAATATTCGTCAATGTTTTGGCCGACAGTTAGAAAGGTAAAATCCAGTGAAAACCTACGGAAAAGTGATTATTTTTAATAGTGACTCCTACTTAACATGGAAAAACAGCGTAAACCAAAATCATAAGTTCTTGGTTCAATGTGAAAATTAGCAGAATATCAAAACTTTTTTTGATATTCTATGATCTTTGAAATGGTTAAAATCAAATCGTTGTATATTTAAAAATATTTTTATCACTTTTTCTTTAGATCCTACACAATTCTAAATTCCTTATGTTTTTCCTTCTCCTTTATAGTTTAACGTTATTCTTTTCTTAAGGTTCTATTTCTTTTTTCTTTTGTACATTATGCTTCCTTCAACAATTATAATATATTCTTTTTTTATTTTTGGTCCATATTTATACAATTCTTTACACTTTTATTCAACTTATATTTCTTCTTTCATTTAAAAGATATTTCTTTAATTTTGATATATTTTTCTTGAGCTTTAATTTCATGTTTCCCTCTATTAATATTTCTTGGTTTTTTTTTGCTTTATATTTTCTATTTTTAAAATTTATTTCTATACTTTGATTAGAATTCTTTATTTTCTTGAACTGACTACTCGTCTAATCCCTTTATCTTTGCAACCTAATTTCGTAGACCTGTAATATTTCAAACTATGAATTCTGTTAAATCAAATAGCCAATGAAATATAAAATGTTTACATTATCAGGCTGCAAATATACATGGATTAGAACATAAGTGTTGGACACAAGATATCAGTTTTTATATTTCTAATTTTCTTACATCATACAAATGAAAAGAAAGTTATTTGAAAAACACGTTTAATAGTATTATAGGGCCTCGTTCTTACAAACAATAAAATAAACTTCCGTTAAATTCATTAAGATAAAATTTCCATCATGTTTCTTACAATATAATGAAGAAATAAATCTTTAGAAATTCGGAAAATATTTTTTTTTAAAGAAAAACTATAAAATTATAAAATTTAAAAAAAATAAAGTAGTTCAAAAAATTTCTCTTTCAAACTTTTATTGAGAAAAATTATCAGGTTTTAAAAACAAATTTATATAAATACGACAAACGTGTATAAATAATATTTGTGTAGATAAAATATATTATTATGTTATATTTATATATAGTATTATATTATATACATATAATTTTATTGTTATAGTATATGAAAACAATTCACTTGAAGAAATATACCATTTTGGAACTTAATCATAATTTCAAGTGACTCTCTAGTTATAAAGTGACATGTACGATTCACAAGGGTAGCCTTATAAGCTTTGTTTCATAATGAATGCATGAGATATCAATGATATTTTCATTGAGACTGGATTGTGGTTTTTATAAAACGTGACTTATGACACAGATAAAGGTTCGGAAGGTACTGTTGTAAATCGGACCTCTATAAAAAGAAGGTCAATTAAAATAGTTTTTTTTTCAGGATGTTCTTAGTCTAAGTTACCAGATGCTAGTCAAATACATCAGAGAACCTTTCAGCCAAACAGCGGTCAGTCTGACTGCCCATAGTCTTGGGGTCACCCTGCCCGCACTTGCTCAAGCGGTCAACCTGCCCGCTCCAGTATGCTTATAGACCTTCTTCAGTCGGTCCCTGGTCATCATAATCATAATTTTGGATCGGTGGACAGGTAGTTTTAATGATAATAATAATAATAACATAATTTAATAATCTATTTGTAGGTTAATAACTGGAAACTATAAGTCGAATGGAAACCTAGTCTCCCTGAAAGTTGATATAATCGACTTTACAGATTTCCAGAAGAACGGATGCCTGGTGAGTCCAGGTACTGGTGGATTATCTGCCTCACATACTCATAACATCACTGGAACTCTCTTCTGCCAACCTGACTCTAATACAGTCCGTCTAAACATCACTGTCCTTGGTACCTGCTCCCAGGACAAACCATGGGAGACGGAGCCATCTGTTCCGTCTTTAAAGGACGTCAAACCCTGGGTAATGACGACAAACAAGATGACGAGCGGAACTACAGAAAACTCCAAGAACATGCAATACTCCCCCTTCTCCTCCCCAGTGAGTCCTCCTTCCAGGGACAACCCCCCGGCACTCCTGGATTTTCACTCGGACCAGCTCATGTCGGAGATACACAGCATGTCTTTCGACTACGGATGCGGGGTCAACCTTAATAGTCAATTGTTACACGAGAATTCTTCTCCTTGCGTCCTCACATCTCCATGTCAGGCAGTTAGTCAAGGCCTGACAAGCAATACAGACGCTATGAAGGTCTCTCTTCCATCTCTTCAACTAAGTCAATCCATTCTGGTCAAACCTTACTCAGTCAATGTATCGACCAGCCTAGCTACAAGTTTATCAACAGCTAAGTCAACCACTGCCAGTGACCTTAACATGGGTCAGCCGACCATGCTTCAACCTAAAATAGAAAGATCAGATTCTATCTGCTCCGAGTACAACAGAGATGATTTTCTCTCATACACTGATGATTTGGGGAATCTAGATGACCTAGATGAACCCGGATCCTATACTACCTCCCCAACCACCATCTCCTCCCCTCTCCTCTTCCCCTCCTCCTCCATCCTCTCCTCCTCCCCTACTCTACCCTCATCCGTGGAAAAAAACAATTTCTTTACCAAGTCTTTCACCTCCAAACCTCAAGATGTTCTGACCCCTAATGCTACAACCAGCAGCTCTACTTGGCAGGTCATCACACAAACCTCAAGTTCAAATCCACCTTCAGTTAATACTTTCGGTCCTGCACCCTCCCGAAGTCCTAAAACCGGCAACGGAAGTCCGTCGTCGGACATTTCGGCCTCGCCGCGCGAACCCTCATTTATTATAAACACGTCGCCGAAACCGAGAAATCGACGAAATTCCTCATTTGACGAGACCAAGCCGCATGTGTGCGCCCAATGCGGTGCCAGGTTCACAACAAAATCAAACTTAGGTCAGCACGCTAAGATCCATCTAGCGGTCAAACCGTTCATCTGCGAAATCTGCAGTCATGGATTCACAAGAGCGGCACACTACGAATCTCATGTCGCCAAGCATAAGGGTTTAAAAACCCACAGGTATTTCTAAAAATAAAGTAATATTGAATCCAATAAACCCCAAAATTGGCGAAGCTGCTCAAGATTGTGATAAATCTAACATGTATTTTTTAATTTTATTGTTTTATTGGCTCCAATTAAAACTTAATTGATGTCGAGCTTTAGATAGTTTTCAAACAAATCCCAACCCTACTCTCTATCACTAGAATTATATCATTTTCTTCTCAATATATTTCGCCAAAAACTTTGGCATCATTAGGAGTTTGTCCTTACTCGTTTGAAGAGTATTGAATGACTGGTAATTGATGTCGTTTCCGGATTAAGCGATTTTTCTCTTGAACGAAAACCACTTTAAAGGGACTGTAACTCGTAAACGTAATCTCAAGTAACCCTTTATGCAAAGATGTCAATGCCCGATTCAGAAAGGTACCTTTATACTTTGTCTGATTATGATTAAAAACCACTTTTAACCCTAAATAAAAACGACAAACTTTTCCAAATTGTTGATCAGATAAAGGGCACCGTTGTGAATCGCGACCATCGTTGTATGGGTCCATTGAAATTACGTGTACAGTCCCTTTATAATGAGCAGTTTTGCAATGCAGACACAATAAACAATATATAGCATGCCGTTTATTAAAACATGAATCACATGAAAAACATGAAATGTAAAAATTTACATTTCAAATAATGCTCTTAACACTAAAAAAAGCTTTAAAAGATTTGATAATTCTAATGGTTCTTTTCTGGGGTTTGTGGCATTCTGAAGCAGAATTTGAAGATCATTCTAAAATAGTTGATGCTTTTATTCTTTTTTTTGTTGATAAAAGCGAAAGCTGCCAATATTTTTGGAGAGCGCTCTTTTTTTCCTCTCTTTATCGTATAATATATCAATGGTGATGTTCGAAGCGTGTACCCAAAATAAGGAAATATTTAAAAATGTTTAGTATAGATATATGACTCTGTGGTGGAATTTCTTCACGATAGTATATTTTCAAATCATACATTTTTTCATCATAACTCCTCTTATTGAATAACTATTAAGAAAAAAAATGTTTAGAATTTATAATTTTTAACTGGGTAAATTTGATGTTGTCATTTTTGTGCATAAAATCTCAATTTGAGTAGCTACGCGGTCACAAAGTCGTAGAAGTAATGTCACAGTGAGTATCCTTGATTACTCACCTCCTACTCTTATTTTCTAATTCTTGTTATATGTATGCTACTTGTCATCGAGGACTTGATATTTCGAACTCTGAATTCTTCTAGATCAATTAGTTTGAAATATCACAGGTTTACACTGTCATTGCACAAATATAGAGGAATAAGATTATTTTTCCATCTACCACTCCCCCCGATTTAATCTTCAGCATATTGCCGTGCTTGTCTGGATAGATCTCAAAATTACGATCGAGAATTTACTTTTTTGACTTTTTGAACATTGAAAACAAAATTGAAAAATTTCTTCTGATTTATCATGTTCTGCAGTTGCACCTACAGGGTGTCCCAAAAAACATGGGAATTCAGTGACGAATTCGATATCGTCTTTGTTATGAATTAGCATTGTAATACCTAATTTCAAAACCCATTATATTATTATGTCTGCTAGAGTTTATTTTATGAAAAGGGTAAAAGACTGTGAAGATGTGTCTATAATGTCTCCGCAAGATGAACAGTGAAGACGGACATGTTTATTCTGTTTGTATACAGCAATTTTCTTGTTTTACTAAGTACAACCGTATGCAGTCAAAACATAAACAAACAAAATGTGAACATAGCAGACGAAACTTTTAAAGATTATAACTTTCTCAGTAGGTATCACTATACTAAATCAAAGAATTATTTGAAAAGACGATATCGAATTCGTCACTGAATTCCCATGTTTATGGTGTACACCCTGTATTTTGTCTTAAGTTTGTTCCTGTACCCTGTGTTATATCTTATTCTCATGGACGGAGCGGGAGATTGGGGAAAGAAAGAAGTAATATTTCTGGGAAACCAATCCAGTCTGAATAATATTGCGTTTAGTCTCACCTCTTGATCTTTCTTCAACCTTTGATCCGAATAGAATTTTAAAACAGGGAAATATTCAGATTTGGCACAAAATAAAGGATTAAAAAAATTAATATTGTTCAATATTTAAAGAAATATTTAAATAAAAAGTTTTGGTTTCCCCCTGAACACTCTGGTGTAAGTAAAACTTTGCATAATTCCTAGTTTGTAATGTCGGCAAGCAAAACAATTATGTCAGGGCACTACTTTACAGTTTATACCTAATCTTTCAAACCTGCTTTCATCTTTCAGTTCTTCATCATGTTGGTATAAATTTGAGATAAAGGCAGACTTTAGGTATAAAGGTCAAATTTATGTCATACGTTTGTGATCTCGTAGCCCCAGTAGTTAGCTTGAAGTATTGTCAAATTTAAAGGCATACTCCCAAAATTTTACCTTCAGACGTTCCATTTTTAAAGAGTTTCAGGTCGTTAATAAAGTCTCGTCCTTTGTGAGAACTCTGTACTTTAAATCAAATTGAATGAAAAGCGAATTTAATTGCGTTTTAACAATCCTATTTATATTTTGTTATTTTATTTCCGTGAATATTCATTTTCAATTCGTCATTTTGAGTATTTGTTTGGAGAACTTTTTCCCCCCGTCGAGTCCTCTCACAACTATATAAACATTAAGCTGTAGCCATGATTTGCACAATTCGGAACTTGAAACTTTAAATAAAAAATAACAACACCCGGTTTAGTTTAGAATGTCTAGGTCTTTATAAGTTTATGAAATTTATTTCTAAAAGTTTCAAAAACATTTCCTCTTTCCATTTTCTTTATTTCTTGATTTAAAATTCACAAAATACAGTGTAGCTGTAGCAGGATTTAAAGCCGGTTTCAAGTACCCAGTTTCGTAATTCATAGTCTCATAAAGTTCCAACTCTAAGTCTTTTGTTGAAAGTACGAGCAGTCTGGAAGAGAGGACGGGGGGGGGGTTAAGTCACAATTTGCAGAGAACTTTATAAAATAAATACTTAATTTGAAAGTATAAATTAAAAACAAAAGTATTCAATTTAATGTTTTATATTTTCTATAATTAAAATTAAACGTTTTTTTAAAGAAATATTTTTAGATGCGACCAGTGCGGTGAAAGCTTTGCGCGCTTGGACAACCTCCTTCGGCACAGCGCGCGTCACAAGCACGGAAAAATATTCGACTGCTCCATTTGCGGGAAAGGATTCCATCGGAAGGTAATAAATCAATGATAAGCCATTTGCTTTAAGATTAAAAATCAAATACACATAAGATTGTGTAAATGTTGTTTTATGGATCTCTCTCTGTAAATAATATTTAAAAATTTCGCTGTATTCTTTCTTTGTTCTTTCCTATGTTGGAAATATGTGTTAATTATTTTGAAATATCTATTTGATTGTTATCAATCAAATTAAGTAATTTTATTGATTAGGATAAATTGATAGAACACGAGAAGGTGCACAGTGAATATAAGTTTCCTTGTGACAAATGCTCAAAAACATTTCACACAAACGATGCTTTGAAACATCACCTGCCCCTTCATGAGGTAAATGATAAGTAAAGCTCTAAAAAAATCTGTATTTTGTCGAAAATTGTTATAAAAGTTTTTAGAGTCTTCATGTCCAGGTCTACAAAAAAGTTTTAAGAGTCAGAAAGTTCAAACAAATGGGAATTACTTCATTTCGATCCGGTTTTTGTTAGATGGCTAAAAATTGTCAGAATAGTTTAAATCCCTGCAGTGAAATAAAAATGATTAAAAAAATGTTAAGAAGGGGGTTTGTTTGCGTACACATGTTATTAGTTTTTAACCTTTTCTTCATCAGCAATTATAAAGCCAAAATTTGCTACAAAATCGACAACAATTATTTAATAATGGGGCACAACTGCTTTATTTGATTAATTACCATATAAGCTTTGGCAATTTGTATATTTTAAAACAATCAATTTGAGTTGTGCTCTAGTTGTAACACTATTTTTACATTTTAGGACTTGACCAAGACTCAATGTAACATCTGCTTAAAGTTTATCACCATCAAGTCCCTGTCCAAGCACATGTCCGCCTTCCACAAGGAGTCCTTGAGCAGTTCCGAGAACAACAACAACGTGAACAAGTCGCGGGCACGGAAGGGCACAGAAGAGAAGACGAATCCGTGCCAGTACTGCCGGAAGTCCTTTGTGAGTCCCGCGAAGCTGCGCTTACACGTAGCCAAGTGCCATGCCGCGGAGCGACATAAACTCAGCACTGAAACCATTCTCCAGCAGACGATCGAGGAGAAGCAGTTCGAATCCAGGAATTTTTTCGACGAGTTTACAATGTCGAAGGAGAGATATTCAAGTCCCTCAGGAGATAGTTTACCCTCTCAACAAGTCCCAGAAATGGACTTGTCTTATATAAACTCTAGTCCCGAGGACCTCAATGACGTCCATTCAACAAAAGAACTGCGAGGGGACATTACAGCGACCTTTCAGATCCCAACAATTCATATTCCAGAGTTTGAATCAAAGCTTGGACCTACAGAGATCTCAACCGAGGCTTTGCAGGCACTACTTTTCAACTAGTGGCATTATAACACGGCATTTTTACCATGCGGAACAAAATTACAAAAAAATCTCAGAAATCCGCAAAAATGGGGCATTTATATACTCCCAAATTGTTAAGTCTTATTACTATCTAATCAAAGTCATGAAATTTGTTATTACTCTGAAATATTTTATGTACTCAAAATTTTCAAGTTGTTTAACTTTGAAACATTTATTATTATTGACATATTGATATAGTTGTACAATTTATTACATTTATATAAAGACATTGCTTTGGAAAAAATATATCAGCATTATAGTTACTTTCTGCACAAACTAGATTTTAAGAAAAGTAAGAACAGCTGATTTACATTTTTTACAAACTTTGTCCAGATTAACGAAAAGTATGATGTTTTTGTGATTTCCGAATACAAGGAAATTTTCCAGTTTGGCATTTTCTTTTTTTGGCATAATTCTTGCAGTATTATGTAATTAACTACAGTCTATTTGATGTTATTTTGCTTTAAGCAAATATTCGTATATATTATCAACTTTTATCTTATAAACAAAATAAACCTCTAAAAAGTTCAATTGTTATATTTTATAGGAACAGAGTTCGTTTTTAAATATATTTAAAACTAGTTGAAGTGCCCGGCGTTTTAAAAACACTTAAAAAAATTATTTTTGAAAAAAAAATTTAATTTTTTTTTTGGATGTTTTCCCCAGGGTACTCATGCAGATGTTTAAAAATGACTTTTTACAACCTAGCGTTTAAATTTCTCAACCCCCAATAAAATAAATGTTCAAAAACTTTGAAAGTATTAAATGAAGAAAGTGTAGGAAATTTGAAATTATAAATTACAATAAAAAAACAATTTTTGTAAAACTAAATTCTAATTATTGAACGATACATCAATAAACTATGGTTTCAAATTCTCAAAATCCTTAAAGGTACTGGAATTTGTAATTTCAAGTGACCCTTCGGGCAAAGACGGCAATGCCCGATTCACAACGGTACCTTTGAAACCTTTATCTGTTCAATAATGTTGAAAATTTTGTTGTTTTTATTAGTTATTTGATTTCGATAACTTATGCAGTAGAAATGCGGAAGCCACTTTTGTGTAGAAAACACAATTAAAAATAATCAATTTTCAAAATTATAAAACTCAACATCTAATTCATTTTGATAAAAAAGATTTTAAGGGCATTGCCATCTTTGAATGGTCACTTGAAATTACACTTACAGCCAAAGTTTAGAAACAATTACTTTTAAGGAAGGGTGTGGGGATAATTAAAAAATAAATATGGAAATATGGAAATATGGAGGTTCACTTGAAAATACTCTTACAGTCCCTTTATGAGAAGTATGCAAAGTAAAACTTTAAGATTTTAATAATTTGTCTCTGATACACTTGCAACTAAACAATATGAAAACTGTTCACCTACTCGCGAGATTTTACAAAAGGAAAACGATTTTACTAATCGTTTTGGTTAATATCTTTGATCAGAGTAAATTGTAAAGTGTATTAAAAGCAAACTTGTCCAGCATGCAATTTTAAAATAGGATTTCCATCTCAGTTTCTTGGGAAGCCTTTAAAAAGTCTTAAAAATTTTAAGATTTAAAACGTTCCTCAAAATAATAGATATCCATAAACATAGACATTTCATAGATAGGACATTTCATAGATAGGAAATTTCATAGATAGGACATTTCATNTATTTATGATTTTGTTATTTATCAAATTTCCTATTTATGATTTTGCTATCTATGAAATGTCCTATTTATGATTTTGTTATCTATGAAATTTCCTATTTATGATTTTGTTATTTATGAAATTTCCTATTTATGATTTTGTTGTCTATGAAATGTCCTATTGATGATTTTAATATCTATGAAATGTCCTATTTATGATTTTGTTATTTATGAAATTTCCTATTTATGATTTTGTTGTCTATGAAATGTCCTATTTATGATTTTGTTATCTATGAAATGTCCTATTTATGATTTTGTTATCTATGAAATGTCCTATTTATGATTTTGTTTTCTATGAAATGTTTATCTATTCTCAACCTTGTCGCCCTGTTCTTGATGTTTTAGAAACTCTTCTCTACAAACGTATAATATTTCTTGTAATATCTAATTGTTGAGCTAATGTTTATTTCAGAAAGCAAAAACATCTGCAATATCAAAAATAAGATTTGAAATAGTTTTTCCAAATTTCAATATGGATTTTCTTTTTAAAAACTTAACGCTACATACATTACATTACATATAATCATTTCCAATCTTTCTAAATTTATTAATTAATTAATTAAAACCCATTTGAAAAAGTTTTATAAAATACAAAAGTTTCTTTTCCATTTGGTATAACGTCCTCCCCTCTTTGGTTTCATTTGTATAAATAGTATTTTTACATTCAGGGCGCCCCCATGAACAAGGTGTATAATCGAGAAACAATAAAAGTCATTTTTAATTTCCAATTTATGCTAAATAAAAGCAAGGAAAATTGTTGTAAAATACGACATATAGATATTTTAAAAAGTTAGATTAATCTCTTTTAGACTTTGTTTACATTTTTATGACGTATTGGGACAGCTACAGATCTAGTTTATTTGTTAATAATAACAAAGATTTTAAACAATATCAAAGTTTGTAAACAATAACAAAGATTTTAAACAATAGCAAAGATTTTAAACAATAACAAAGATTTTAAACAATAACAAATATTGTAAACAATAACAAAGATTGTAAACAATAACAAAGATTGTAAACAATAACAAAGATTGTAAACAATAACAAAGATTGTAAACAATAACAAAGATTGTAAACAATAAAAAATGTGTAAATAAGGTTCTTAAATCCTATACAGGTCAAACTTTTTGTTTGTTTACAATGAAACTGGTTCCTGCACTGTACCAATACGTCACAATAAAATGTAAACAAATTACAAATGTTTACAAGTTACCACTTATAAACAGCTGGCAGATTAGAGTCCCCGTCGTAGTTGTAATTGTACAACATTTCTTTAATATGCTTCTCTTTATCCTAATAATAATAATAACAATGATAATACAATACAATTGAGAAGTTGTCTTCATTTACCATTTTATCATGTATGATTAAGGTGAAGAAAAAGTTACAATTCTTTTTATAACCCAAATAGTCCATGAATAAAACCCCTGCCCCCCTCAGCGAAATTTTGGTTTTTTTTCAAATCCCTTTTCCACGTACTGCACCTAATAACAATGATCAGTGTAGTTGATTAACCTAAATACATACGCCACAATCTAGCGTACATTTTCCTCCATTTGTCCTGACGGGGATCCAATCAGGGTTCAGCCATGTGTTTGGTGTCTTTCCTGAACCAATAGAAATAGTTTGGCGGTAACATCAATCTTTCTATCTAGCTCATTATCCAATTAGAGATAAATCCTTATATCGGCGCTATCAGTAAATGGAAACATTTACTTCTACTGAAATTGTAGTGTGATGCGCCGAAGGCTACAATCGGGGCCGAGCGCTGCAGCTAGAAAGGGCTAGAGTACCGAGTGCTGCCGCTTGGGAAATTGACGTTTGGGAAAGTACCTAACATCGTTAAAAATGTCTTTTTTATTCATGAAACCCCTTGGCCATTCCTAGCAGATTTTTCTAAATGATCTCGTTGGTGTGGCGGTGCCTTGGAAAAAAGGTTTTAGTAGATTGAGCTCCTTATTCCTAGGAACTTCTGATATTAATTTTATTTCAAATATGTGATCCGTTACGATTAACTCTCTGATCCGTTACGATTAACTCTCGATTAACTCTCGCATGAAAATTATGAAACTCTTAAAACTCTCATGTCTATTTATGGCATTGTAATGGGTATTATTAAGTGCGAAAAGTTTTTGTCGGGATTTTTATTTTGATCGAAAACAAACTAAAAAAATTAAAAGTCACTGCAAAAACTGTTTTGCACGCATGATACCCATTTCAATAACATAAATAGTTTTACTTAACCACCCTACAACGGGAAATGTTAGGTGTGATAAATTCCATCGAAATTGAATAAAAATGATTTTTTACGCGATACTGGGTTTCAAAAACTCTAGGAGGGTGAATTAATAAAACTTCAACTTTAGCCTGATCAATAGATCTAACTAAACAACAATGTCCTTCCTTGATTTTATAAAGAGGTGGATAAACTCTCCCAACTTTAAGATCATCAGCTGTCACCATATCAGCCAATCCCTCAGCAATAAACAGGAATACTGATTCCTGGAATATTAATATATCAATACAATAAACAGGAATACTGATTCCTGGAATATTAATATATCAATACAATAAACAGGAATACTGATTCCTGGAATATTATATCAATACAATAAACAGGAATACTGAATCCTGGAATATTAGTATATCAATACAATAAATAGGAGTACTGATTCCTGGAATATTAATATATCAATACAATAAACAGGAATACTGATTACTGGAATATTAATATATAAATACAATAAACAGAAATACAGATTACTAATAATAAAATTCTAAACCTTTTTGGTTGAAATAGCATTTAACTTATCCTAACTTTAAAATTAAAGGAGTTAAATTCAAATTTAGATACAGGGTGTCCCAATAAACATGGGAATTAAGTAACGAATTCGAAATCGCTTTTGTTAAGAATAAGTTAACAAATTAACTCTAGCAGACGAAAAATCTACAACTTTCTCATGAGGCATCAATTACAAAGACGATATCAAAATTGTCCTTGAATTCCCATGTTTATTGGGACACCGTTTGCACTCTTTTTCATCCAATATGAAAATGAAAGACAACTTTTATGAATGACTTACATGAATATGCCTGATTCCTGCTGCTATAACGCCTAGAGATGCTCCAGGGAATATATAAGCATTATTTCCTTGCCCAGGCTCAAAGCTTTTTCCAAACCCTTGAATTAGAATTTCAATGCAGTGATGCTTAATAAACAGTCGAATATTTATCTTTGATCTTTCTTTTAAATAAAATTACTGTTAAGGACTATGTAACTGTTAAGGACTATGCAACTGTTAAGGACTATGTAACTGTTAAGGACTATGTAACTATTAAGGACTATGTAACTGTTAAGGACTATGTAAGTGTTAAGGACTATGTAACTGTTAAGGACTATGTAACTGTTAAGGACTATGTAACTATTAAGGACTATGTAATTGTTAAGGTCTATGTAACTGTTAAGGACTATGTAACTGTTAAGGACTATGTAACTGTTAAGTCTATTAAAATGTGCCCTTTCTAAAGAAATAAGTACGATAAGTAAAATATTATGTACGATATAGAAAATCCACACTTCTAGTCAAAAGAAAGAGTGAAGACGACAATCTCTTTGATTTTCATTGGTTATCACCGTAAATATAAACAGTTTTAACTTTATTTTGTCAGTAAAGTGTAAGTTTGAATAAAACCAACGATGACAGACCATAGCTACTAACTATGTTTATGTAAAATATAAAATTTAGTGAAAATTTGGTTTTTATATCTTCATACAGATGAGACCCAACAATCTATGGAATAGAAAGACGACATTTAAGCTTTTGAGCAAAACATTTTTACATGTAGGTAGCCTGGTAATAAACTTATTAAGTGAAATTTGTCTTTTTTCTACACTGCTCAATGGCTGTGTTTTATGTTCATTGGACAGTTTAAAATCAGAACTTGATTTCAACACTTACGGTTTGTTTCCTAGTCCATAGTTTTATAGGTTCCACTGTATAAATTTTGTTTGTATATTTAAGTGTTACATGATTAAAATACAACCTTCCCCCCCCCATATTTAAATACCCACCCACCCATATATTATTTTTATTTTTATCCAGTGTCATTTCATACCTTGAAAGTGTGGGAAAGGAGATCCTGAGGCGAATATAGCCCTGCCTTCTGTGTACGTATACGCCGCCTCAGCCGTGCACTCCGCCTGGCTGGTAGGGTTGGACAGAGCAAAGATTATCGGGGTTTCGTTCAAGTCTCCAACTTCCTTAATTATAGAAGCTGTTTTAAGAGGACTGTTTGTGAAATTTTATGTTAAAACCGTGTAATGAACATGAAATGTAATTGCTGTATATATTTCATCTCACTTAATAAATTGATTTTCAGGTTAAAAGTAAAACTAATTGCTTCATAACAACATTAAATATACACCAGATGCTTAACTGCAGCTTTCCTATTAAAGTAAATTAAATCGATTATTTTTGTTGTTACATTTTTACCTTGATACATTTTTACCTTGATACATTTTTACCTTGATACATTCTTACCTTGATACATTTTTACCTTGATAACTTCTGGTGTAAAGACTCCAGGTATAGCTGCAGCCCCAATAAGGCAGGTTGGCTTAATCGATCTTTAAATTAAATAATTTTAGTTATTCATTAATTAATCATAATCAAATTTAGAACAAATACATCGCCATGCATAATATAAACTGTACAACTGTACTGTACAATGTGAAGAATAGTATAGTGCACACTGTGCAGTGTGCAGAATAGTACTGTGTACACTGTATAGTGTACAGAATAGTACAGTAAAACCAAGTACTGCGCGCTGAAATACAGGTCAATAGTATCGGAGTTATTGATATCATGGGTTAAAGCCAAAGGAACTAAAAACTTTAATTTTATAATCCTTATATCTTTGCAACCTGATGTCGCATAGCTCGCATAGCTTTGCTTGTCTAAACTATGAATGCTGAATAAACAGTAGACGTTAGAGATATTAAAGATTAACACCATCAGGTTGCAAAGACATAGAGATTAGAGTTGGATGTTATTTGTAGAAACCAATGATTTTGTTTTAAATAAACAACATTTTTTATATTTTTATTTTAACATTGTATTTTCAGTTTGAATTTATTAAATTAAAATCTCACAAATGTGTCTCAGGGACCAGGGTTTGTTCATTAATTCTCTAGTTTTACTGACTAACCAACCTAATTATTTCCATTAGATCCTCCATCGGCTCGTGAGGGTGGGCAAAGGGTGCCTTTGGTTTACTTATACCCCCACTTGGTCGGTCTTTTACCACCAAACCTAGAGAACAAACTAGGTTTACTTTGGTAATGATTCCCTTATATTATACCCCAATTGGTCGGTCTTTCACTACCAAACCTAGAGAACACATAAGGTTTACTTTGGTTCACCTATACCCCCAATTGGTCGGTCTTTTACCACCAAACCTAGAGAACAAACTAGGTTTACTATGGTAATGGTTGGCTTATATTATACCCCCACTTGGTCGGTCTTTCATCACTAAACCTAGAGAAAAATAAGGTATAATTTGGTTCACTTATATCCTCACTTTGTCCATCTTTCATTACTAGGGAACAAATAAGGTTTACGTTGGTTCACTTATATCCTCACTTTGTTCATCTTTCATTACTAGGGAACAAATAAGGTTTACTTTGGTAATAATTCACTTATATTATACCCCTCACTTAGTCGGTTTTTCACTACCAAACCTAGAGAACATAATTAGGTATACTTTGGTTATTGTTGACTTATATTAACAGTGAATTTAGACAAATCCTTAGTCTTTGACATTGTCAGGTGTCGCCTTTTAAGCGTAGTTTCCTTTTAATTTTGTATTTTCCCTGCCCCCCCCCCTGGAACTCCCAGGGGGGGGGAAAGAGGACTACTGCCCCCCTGTCTACGCCCCTGGGGGGGGGGGGACGTTTCTCAAAACATATTTAATCCCAAAAAAAATATTTCTAAAATAATTGCAGATCATTCCTTTATTTTTACTATTATTTTTATTATTATCTAATTTTCCCATTTCTAATTTCAAGAAAATTAAGTATTTTTGAAAATAGATTAAAGTTGCAATTTCTTACATGATCTCAGATATCATTATTATTATTTTTATGTTCCAATTCTTTATTCCAATGACATCCTTAGTTCACAGCTTAAAAGATGAAGGCGCAGGAGGCCTTCATCCCGGCTTAAGTAAAGACAAGTATATATGACAGTTTTGCAGACATCATGGAGCCATGGTATGGGGGGGGGGAGGTAAGATTTTTCACTTAAGAAAGGGAAGCATGAGACCAGTTGTAAAACTGAGGAAGGACCTGCCCAAACTTAAGGAGAACTTCATGAAATTGAAGAGACATTTGTGTCTGAAATATGAGCTTAATTGTAAGACCGAGCATCGCCTCAGGAGGCCGTTGAGGAGGACTTCATATGATTCAAGACATGTGTTTAATACAATATGATCATAAAACTGAGCTAGGACTTGCGCCGACTTCAATGAAGTCAGCAGGGGGGGTGGGGAATAGGCTTCAGAAAGAATGAGAAGTAGGATGCCATCTAAATTCCAAAATATTTTAATGGGTTCTTCTCATGTTACGAGAAATTTGATATTTTTTTTGCAAATATTGAAGAAAAAGGAGGACTTAGTTAAGTCGAGAGGCGCCTAAGTCTCCATTGAAGGTCCCCTCGGTCTGTCAGGGTATCACCCTCACATCCATTAATAAAAGTGTTCTACTTTTTCCATAAGTATTCTCCCCTTTATAAATAGATAGCGCAGAAATTTAAAATCACGGACATTGTAGTAGTTCTGTGTGTTTCCTACCGTGTAATACAAACTGTACCTTTAGAGTCTCTAAGCCAAACATGACTCAATGCTTCTTCTCTGGTTAATCCTTCTCGTTTCTCTAGAGCCATAGCGATCAATAGAGCGATCCCTACAGCAGCCTGTCCAGCACCCTAAACATGGCGATCAATAGAGCGATTCCAACCTGAGCTTGTCATATGTATCTAGAAAAGGAAAGTAAGATCTAAAGAATATCTAGAAAAGAAAAGTAAGATCTATAGAATATCTGGAAAAGGAAAGAAAGATCTATAGTATACCTTGATAAGGAAAGTAAGATCTAAAGAATACCTGGAAAAGGAAAGTAAGATCTAAAGAATACCTGGAAAAGGAAAGTATGTTCCTTTAAACTTTTCCCCGTAGCCTTGAGAGCAGCCAATATACCAGCAAGTGCCACACTAGCAGTTCCTTTACACAAACAATACAATTTCATCGTGATTTTAAACAACCTACCATGAGAACAAAATTTTAGTTGTTTGTAAGGTTAAACACCTTAATTTTATTTTTAAAGATTGAGATATTGCTGTTTTTCTATCTGATAATTGTAAACTTGTCCCAGTTGTTTATTCTTTAAAAAGCTTTTGGATAGGAATACCAAAAAACTGCTGAAATTTGTTCCATTATATACTGAAATATTTTTGCCATACACGTTTATTACACGTTTTCTGCATGTGTCTTAAAATTTCTTTAAAAAAGTTTCTTTAGAAAAATGTGAAAACAAACCGAATACTTTGGGAATTCAAAACTCCCTTGTATTATTATATTTATATTCATATTCGAGACGAAATAAAGTTTTGTAATTTATAAATAAATTATTAAATTACCTTGGATGTCGTCGTTAAAGGTGCAGTATTTATCCCTGTTAGTTATATGTTTTAATTAAAAGTAAATAATAGTGTTTCTCTATCAAATAGCTTTAAAAAGTATGCAAAGAATAATGATACACACCTTTTTTTGATTAAATTTCAACTTTACTTTTAAACAAATTTAATGAATAGCGAGAAGGAGTTGAACTACTAGACATAGATGAACTTATAAAAACTTATATCCCTGTACATCTCAAGTAGACGGAAAGCATTATCTTTTCCAAAATCTTCAAATTGAATTAAACAGCTCTGCCCAAACCTTCGGAAAACAGCCTAAACATATGCAAATGTTAATTGGGGGTTATAGCTTTTCAAGGCTCCACACCAATTTTAAAGTTGTATTCTCTTTTTTAACAAAAACGTTGATTTTAAGAGAAGATTTTCAAACGTCTGCTTTTGGTTTAGGCTTATATCTTCTGTTATTTCATAATTTCAAAAAATCTAATTGATTCCTCTTTTAACTTTTAACTTTTTTATTAGTTTAAATATAGTTGGATACAAGGTTGTAATGGAAGGAAAGTTAATTGCAGTTGCGTATACTCTGCGTTCGTACATATTGAAACCAGTTCTCTCTGAGCCAAATTTGTAAAAATTTACATTACCGTCTTGAGACAGTACACTGCAGACGCAGTACAAAATATGCGTACATCTCTGAAAAAACTTTCCTTACATTACAACCTTCTTTGGATAGGCCTTTCAGCTTCTCCCGTTGTTGACAAAACTGCATGATATGTTATTTTTTTCTTAAATTCCTTATTATTTAAATTCTCAATAATATAAAATGTGACCTGCATAAATTCATCAATAAATTGATCGTATTCTTCTCCTCTAACCCTGGGTTGTCTCAGTCCAATATAGTCAACATCATTCCGTAGTTCTTCCCTGAAGTACAGTTTTTATCTAAAGGGACTGTAGATGAAATTTCAAATGACTTTCTCTTTAAAGAGGCAGATTTCCTATTCACAACGGTTCCGACAATTGCCTACATTGTTTCTGTAGAATAAATCCGCAAGTCGCTTATAATGAGACAAATAATCAATTTTCAAAGATATGAATACGGAACGTTGTAAATCGAACGCGCCCCGCTTTAAAATGGCGGGTCATTTGATATTATAACTATAATCCCTTTAAGATGGTGGCCCGCGTAATTATCATTCACAATTTTTTCTAAAGAGTATTATACCTGTTAGTTCCCACGTCAAGTGTAATAGGCAGAGTTTGATGAGGTGGTATATCAGCTAGTGCAGTATATAGTGCTAGCTTACCTACAGGGATACCCATACCCTGCAATAAATTTAATATATCCACTAGAGCAGTATATAGTTTTTACTACAGGGATACCCATACCCTGCAATATATTCAATATATCCACTAGAGCAGTATATAGTTTTCCTACAGGGATACCCATACCCTGCAATATATTCAGTATATCCACTAGAACAGTTTATAGTTTCCCTACAGGGATACCCATACCCTGCAATATATTCAATATATCCACTAGAGCAGTATATAGTTTCCAAACAGGGATACCCATACCCTGCAATATATTCAATATATCTACTAGTGCAGTATATAGTTTCCAAACAGGGATACCCATTACCCATACCCTGCAATATATTCAATATATCCAAAAGTGTAGTATATAATTTACCCATACTCTACAATATATTCAATATATCCACTAGAACAGTTTATAGTTTCCATACAGGGATACCCATACCCTGCAATATATTCAATATATCCACTAGAGCAGTATATAGTTTCCAAACAGGGATACCCATTACCCATACCCTGCAATATATTCAATATATCCAAAAGTGTAGTATATAATTTACCCATACTCTACAATATATACAATATTTCCACTAGAACAGTATATAGCGTCCCAACAGGGATACCCATACCCTGCAATATATTAAATATATCCACTAGAACAGTATATAGTTTCCCTACAGGGATACCTATACCCTGCAATATATACAATATATCCACTAGAGCAGTATATAGTTTCCGTACAGGGATACCCATACCCTGCAATATATTCAATAAATCCACTAGAGCAGAATATAATGCTAGCTTCCCTATATACCCATACCCTAAAATATATACAGTTTATACAACAGAGGAGTATATGAACTTAAAACAATAATAAATCACAAAATATCCTTAGTCTTGGTATTTACAAATGTGGTCTGTCTTGTTTTCGCTTTAAAAGTTGCTGGAGATATCAAAGACCACGTTTAGGAGTTGTCAGAACTATTGGAATTTTGTGATATTTTTTTCAATAGAGTAGATTGACGAATGAATGCTGCAAATAGTTTCAAAAAAGACGATCTTCAAGTTGTCTTTCAACTGTTATGTTTTGTAGAACACCCAATATCTACCTGAGCTCCAAGATCCCCGAGACCAAGGATTCTCTCTCCGTCTGTAACAACTATAGCCTTGATGTCCTTCTCAGGCCAGTTGCTGAGCACCTCGTACACGTGCCCCTTGTCCTTGATGCTGATGAACATCCCCTAAACAAAGGATATCAGACAAAAATAAGTTGAAATATTGAAATTGGTTTCGCTTAACCAATCCTTTATTTTATAGAACATCGAACAGATGTCAGTTAATCCTTTCGTGAGGTAAGAACGAGATTAACTTATTCTGTACATTTAAAAGTTTTTAGCACAGTTGATTTGGTTACTATCTTTCACATTGGTTAATATCTTTAACTGAAACGCTTATTGTTTATAATTTATCTGAATTCAATTCGTAAATCTTTATTCATATTGGACTTGTTTCTTGGTTTGTCTGTTTTATTGTTTGTTTGTGTCAAATAAACGTCAAAACGAATGAATTGACTCCAGATTGACGAATTTAGTCTTAAATATTGTAGATTTTAAACTTTTTTGGAAATCCACCCAAACAAATTAAAAATTAACAGAATTTAAGTTTTGCGATGCACAAACATAGGTGACATCTTGAAAACAAAAAGCTAAAAAATAAGTGGCGAAACGACCTGAAAACCTAATTAAATAAATTCCTATAGATAAGCTAACCTTAGGATTGGTGAAAATGAATCCATATTTCTGACAGGCCAGTCCTACGGTTGGGGTGTAAACTATTGGCATCAGTTCTTCAGTGTTCTCAGATAAGAGCTGAACAAAAATTGAACCAAATTTTTTTAACACACTTGTCCTCAAAATTGCTGAGATTTTAATGACGACCTATAAATACTTATAAAACTGAGGCCTTAGGAATAATAATCAAAATGTTATCTCCGAATGGTTTAGCAAAGAAAAAAATAAAAATTGAATTTTCAAAACTTTTCCTCAATCGAAATTCTGTTTTTGAAAATTTTGAAAAATCACGAAATTTTTTGTTTGTTTTTGTTTTACAATGTACACAGAGATAACATGTTCACAATGGAAATGGAAGATGGGCGGTAAAAGTCTCTGGTTTGTATCGAGTAGATTAATCATGAATAAATATTGATCCAAGGAATCAATGTATATTAATTACCCTGTAAAAAGTCTCTGGTTTGTATCGAGTAGATTCATCATGAATAAATACTGATCCGAGGAAACCAATGTATATTAATTACCCTGTAGAAAAGTCTCTGGTTTGTATCGAGTAGATTCATCATGAATGAATATTGATCCAAGGAATCAATGTATATAAATTACCCTGTAGAAAAGTCTCTGGTTTGTATCGAGTAGATTCATCATGAATGAATATTGATCCAAGGAATCAATGTATATAAATTACCCTGTAGAAAAGTCTCTGGTTTGTATCGAGTAGATTCATCATGAATGAATATTGATCCAAGG